CGACTCAACGCCAACAGTGCTCAGCTCCTTGCTGTTTCCCCAGCACTTTGAACCTACAGTCTATTCTTTTCCCTGCCAGGGAGACTGAGCTTGATGCTGACAACTAAAGCGCCACTCCCGCCGTCTGGGGCTCATCCCCATAACTGGGATGTGGACATTGCTGGGAATGGCCACAGTCCTGATGGCTGAGAACCAGCTTCATTCTCTTAGTAGATACAGCGGCAGTAGATACTGCTTTTAAGCTATTGCTACTTGGTAGACTAATTTCACACACAGACAGTGCATTCTTCTCCTGGGCTTTGAACTCAGGGTCTGGGCATGGTCCTTTAGCTTTTTCACTCAAGGCTGGTACCACTTGAGCCAAAGGTATTTCCAGCTTTTTGGTGGTTAATTGGAAATAAGTGTCTCATGGACTTTCCTGTCTAGGCTGGCTTTAAACTGTGATCCTCAGATCTCAGTCTCCTGAGTAGCTAGGATTACAGGCATGAGCCATAGATGCCCCACTGAATAACTTAATTTAAATAAACACTAGCTGGCTTCAGAAGTTAATTGGAACCTCCATAACACTTTTTGGAGAAATGGATACAAAAATACTGAGTTTAATAAATCAAAGCATCCTAGGACTATTTTGTTAACAACGTATGTTCCCATCTTTTTAAAAAAACAAAACAGGAAAAGTGAATGCAATCTGAACAGTTTGCATTGGCCTCTTCGGGTCACTAGAATATTTTTTGGAATCTGTTTATTAATTTTCATTTATAAAACTATGCCTCCTTGATCGTAACTTTATGGCCTGCTGTGTATTGATATAGGACATGAAAGTTTCTGTAGGAAACGATCCCCGCTCTGCCGTGCAGATGGAAAGGCACAGATGGCTGTGTCACGAGCCGGCCCAGAGACTAGAAGCAAAGCAGAGGTAGCTAAAAGCATTTCCGGGGCACTAAGGCTCTCTGCTTCTTAGTGCCTTCCACAGCACCAGTGTTCATTATCATCTTTTGTTATCAGAACTATCTTTTGGAACCCCTGCTTGGCAGGTATTATTAAACCGTGGGAGGGACTACATTAAAATCCTTAATGCTGTGACAGCTCTTCATTGCAAGGTTGTTTTCCAAATATTCTCCCGCCTCCTGACTTCCTCTGTTTGTGAGAGAGGCATTTGCCTTAGAATAAACCTCTTAGGGAAGGAGTTGGCTCTGCCAGGATCCCCCCCTCCTGGGAGCATCTTAATCAAGGGTCTTCCTTTCCAATTCTAAGCTGACTTCACTCTGCTTAATTAAGAGTCATCGCCAGTGCTGTGCCGGTGGCTCATGTCCATAATCCTAGTTACTCTGGGGGCTGAGATGTGAGGATCCAATTAACCACCAGAAAACCACAAGTGGGGCTGTGGCTCAAAGTGGTAGAGCACTTGCCTTGAGCAAAAGAGCTCAGAGATAACAGCCCAGATCCTGAGTTCAAGGCCCAATAGCCAACTAAATAAATAAATGAGTAAATAGATAAGGAATTCAGATGTAGATCTCCTAAGACACAAGCAAGCTGTCTATCCATTCCATCGTGTTGTGCTATTCACGTAGTAGATGTCCCTTGCGGCTTTGCTTTGCTTGGTTCTCTTTTCAGAAGATTGCAGGGGCAAGATTCATGGCTGTCAGCACTGTGCAGATGTTCTAAGCAGGCAGTTCGTGTCACTGCACGTCGAGCAGATGACTTTTGCCCTGGTATGAATGTCGTTTCCGGGCTGAGTCCCAGGAGCAGGCTATTTCCAGAGAGCAGAGGGTATGGATGAGATGTACAGAGCTGCAAGTAGAAAACGTTACCCACTCCTCACTGTACTAGGGGAAGAACTCAAGACTGAGGGGGTCAAGGCTGGTCCCAGGGTGGGCAAGCCATGGTAAACAGACAACAGAGACAACAATGCACACCTCACAGATGGGTACCCTAGGGTATCAGAAGACATGAATTTTCAATGATACTAGAATATTTATTCCAGTTCATTATGAGAAAATGAAGGGGAAGTAATCCAATCTCATTAAATAAGGATGTTGATGATTTGGTAAGATACTCAAACAGGGGGCTGGGAAGGTAGCTCAGCGGTAGAGTGCATGCCTCGCAAGCATGAGGCCCTGGGTTCGATTCCTCAGCACCACATAAACAGAAAAAGCCGGAAGTGGCGCTGTGGCTCCAGTGGTAGAGCGCTAGCCTTGAGCTGAAGAGCTGAGGGACAGCGCCCAGGCCCAGAGTTCAGGCCCCATGACCGGCAAAAAAAAAAAAAAAAGATATTCAAACGGAAGTCAAAAGTCATTAAAATGGAATCCCAGACCTACAAATACACTGTGCGTAGAAGCATTATTTTGAATTTCACCAAAGAGAAGGTGGTGACACTCTCCTGTGGCACAGACTACCCCAGAGCTCATAAACATCTGTACTCACTGGCTTGGAGTTTCTTTATCTTTGAGGAAAATCATTTCTGCCTGTGGCTGCTTGATACTCCTAACGTTCTAATTTGCTCTGTGAGTTGATTTAACTTCCTTTCCTTGGTGGTAAATAATGTAAAGGGAGACTTTCCCTCCCCACTCTTCTGTGGATGTTGCTGGGTAGAGTCATAATGTCGTGGGTTCTGGGTAAGCTTCTCCATCAACAGCACCAGGATCACCGAGGTACCCATTACAATGCCAATCTGAGTGAGCGAAGAGGAAAGAGGGCTAAGTAACGCCCCTCCCTGACCCTTATGCCGTATAACTGCAGACTCTCAGATCACAATGGAAGCACACAGATCAGTTTGTATAAAGGGGAAATGTAGTGATCTTTTTACACCTTCTGATTTTGTGTAAATATGTGTGGGAACTTTGTTTCCCCAAACTTGACAAGTGGTTCTTTGATATTATTTACAATAGCTACTCAGATACTTTTTAAAGTACACTTCTGAACTGGCTATGGTGCACATGCCTGTAATCTCAGGAGGCAGAAGTAGAAGGATCTTGTTCCTCTCCGAGGCCAGTCCTAGACAAAAAGTGTAACATCCTACCTGAAAAATTACTAAAACAGAAAGGACTAGGGCACAGCTCAGGTCGTAGGGTTCCTGCTTAGCAAGTGTGAGGCCCTGTGTTCAAATGTTAGTAGCATCACCAAAAAAGAAGGAAAAAAAATCTATTAAAAAAAAAATCTCACTTAACATTTTCTTTTTTATTTATTTATTTATTTTGGGGTCCGGACCTGAGGCCTGAACTCTGGGCCTGGGCGCTGTCCCTCAGCTCTTCAGCTCAAGGCTAGCGCTCTACCACTTGAACCACAGCACCACTTCCGGCTTTTTTTCTTTTTGCTTACATGGTGCTGAGGAATCGAACCCGCAGGGCCTCATGCATGCAAGGCAAGCGCTCTACCACTGAGCCACCTTCCCAGCCCAACATTTTCTTTTTGATGGCTGATTTAAGATGTGTGAGCTACAGTTCAAACTTCGAGGATAAGAGGTTTCTCAAATTACAAGGAGAATCCAAGGGGAGAGTTTTTGAGAGGCTGCAGTTTTTTGTTTTTCCTGCAACAGAAGTCAACTGGCGCCATCTAGTGGATACAGATAGCATCTCTTGAATTCTTAGTTGTCACATAGCTTTATTCAAAGTGACATTTCTCAGGTACTTAGCACATGCTTTAGATACATCCTTTCACTCCATTTCCCTTGAGTTGACGCTGTGGCCACTCACACTTATATTCAGGAATCCAAAGGCACTAGGGAACTAGCTTGTACTGGGATTCCAACCTCTCCTAACGTGGCCATTGGTAAGAACTTACAGTCAGCAAGAAGGAATTGAGGGGCACAGGCTGTTCAGCTGGCACTCAATGTGGGCTCCTTCTCAGCTTCTCAGAGCTCACTCTGCTTAGGAGGAGGGTGTCAGCAGAGATGGTAAACAAAAACAACAGCTCGCTCAACAACCAGTGTTGCCATATGGCACCAACCTGGAATCCAACCAGGGAGATTTTAGCATCAAAGATCTTGATGCTAGAGGAAAACTTTATGAATGACTTCGAAAGGTGACAGAAACAACAGAAAACACCATTGGACAATAGGGTTTTCTATCCTTTGGCTTTCTAGCTCCACGCCAACTGTTGTACGTATTTCCAAACATTAACAACAAATACGGAATGATTACCATTTATTACACGTTTGCTCTCACTAGCCTTGAGCAAAAGAGCTCAGCACACAAGCCGCGAGTTCAAGACCCATGACCCATGACCGGCCAGCACAAACACACACCCACAAAAAAACAAAAACAAACCCAAACCCAACTTTGCTTGCACAGCCTCTCTGTGGTTTGCTTTTAGCATCAGCAGGAGGGAAATAAATAGAAGAACTCCAACAGAAAACAATACAGGATGAGATGCACTTTACGTAAAATGTCAATAATGAGGACTTAGTCTGGGACGGTTACGGAGCGAGGCCTGTGATCTTTGCTACTTGAGAGGCTGAAGTTGGGAGGATCACAGTTCAAGGCCAGCTAAGGCTCGACGTTCCTGAGATCTCCATGTTCCCATCATCCCAGCTACGAGGCAGGCTGGTATTGGGATGACTGGGGTTCCCGGCCAGCCAGGACCACCACCACCACAACACGCAGCTGTCATCCCAGCCAAGGGCAAGGGTAAAATAGGGCTAGCATGGCCCAGATCGAGACCCTATCTCAAAAGGACCCGGAACAAACATCCGGAGGTAGGACTTACACGGTGTAGCCACCTGCCTCGAATGCACAGGGCCCTGGGTTCAGACCCCCCCCCCCCCCCCGCCCCATGCTGGATGGTGCAGCCCGTTTCCCCCATCGCGAATGGTAGGCGCCTATTCTGCTCTCGCGAGACTCGGAGCGAGCGTGCTTGTGGTTGCCAGGGCAACGGCGCCGCTGGCGACGGCGGCGGCAGGGCTGTGGAGCGGCGGCGTCTCTCCCTCACGGAAAGGCTGCGGTGGCGGGCAAGACCGCTCTTCTTCGAGGGGAAACGGATGACGCCGCGAGTGTCTGCGACACGCTGCTATCGGGCCAGTGCGCTGACGTCTGGTTCCCGGAGTCCGCGCCGGGCGGGTGAGTGACCGGTCCCGGGATCCGCGGAGCTGGAGAGCCGCGCCGCTCGCCCGCGGGGGGCGGGGCCCAACGCGTCAGTCTTTGTGGGAGCTGTCAGGGAAGGTGGGCAGGGCCAATGAACGGGGCCGGCTCGGTCCCAGGGGCGGGGCCAGAGGGGGCGGGACCAGGCCGGGCGGGAGCTTTGAGAGGCGGACTTGGGGCTTCCCACCAAGTAGAAGAACGGCCTGGTGAAGCGGGGATCGGGGTTAAACAGAAAGAGGGAGGAGGGAACGAGAACGGGCCCTTTGCCCAACGTTTGGCTATCCGGACCCCGTGCTCTGAAAGCCCTTTTTCATTCGGTGCTAGGGTAGCCATGGATATCATCAAGGGAAACTTAGATGGAATTTCCAGGCCGGCCTCCAACTCGAGAACGCATTTTGGGAGCAGGCTTTCCAATGCTTCCTTAGAGGTGCTGTCCCCCGAACCTCGCTCCTTCAAGGTAAGGGCTGCCGTCGCCCCCTAGAGGTTCAGAAACATTTCCTAACCACTTACCTTTCTGTGCGTCATCCTGAGTACTGTTGAACATAGATTTTCAGGTTCTGAATTCTTTCTTTTTTTTTTTCTTTTTCTTTTTCCCTGTTGGTTGTGGGGCCTGAACTCTGGGCCTGGGCGCTGTCCCTCAGCTCTTCAGCTCAAGCACTCTACCACTTGAGCCACAGCCCACTTCCGGCTTTTTTCTTTTTGCTTATGTGGTGCTGAGGAATTGAACCCAGGGCCTCAAGCATGCAAGGCAAGCGCTCCAGCACTGAGCCACCTTCCCAGCCCTTGATGATGTATCTTTAATTTCTGGATTGTCTACTTTATTTTTCCTTTTTTCCCCCCTGAATCCATCTGTTCTTGACAGTATACTCACTTTCCTCATGTTTCTTCATTCTTTCTCGCTCATTTATGAGTTGGGTCATTGCTAGTTTATTTCCTACTACATCTGTGTTCTCCTTTGTTAAATGGAAAGTCAATGCCTTCACCACTGGGTCATTGTGAGTGGTTGTGAGGCCAGCGTAAAAGCTACTTAGCATCAGACATGGCTGATTTCAGCCCTCAGTACAGACTGGCTATGATTAATGAACCACCAACTTAGCTCAGTTCTGCTGGGTTAATATCCTGTGTCCAGCAGGGATGCTGGTCCAGTTCTTAGCAGGGTAAATCCCAGCTCCACTTGTCCCCTGGACTGCAGATCTCTAGGAGAGTTGCAGTGGTAGAGTATTGAACATACTGGTTCACAGGGAACATAGGACCTTCCAATGCCTGAGATCAGACAGTCCCTTATTGGGAGGGAAGTCTCTCTGTCTCTGTCTCTGTTTCTGTCTTCTCTCTCACTCTCTTTCAGGAAAACACACCTGTGTTGAACTGGTCTTTTCAAAATGAACTTTGCTAAGATGTAAAAGGAAACCAAAATGCAATAGAAAAACTGTGAAGGTTTGAAGCCATGAGTTGGTAAAGAATTTTTTGACACAGGAGAATAAGAAAGGCAAAGATTTATTAGGCCTCCATTAGCAAGGCAAAATGGTGGGCAGCTAGAGGGTATAGTGTGCCAAGACAGGGTTGACAGGTTTTATATCTTGGGTTAGACTAGTTTTGATTGGCTATCTCCCTTTTTGTGAACCTTATTGATTGGTTTGAATTTCACGCACGTATGGCTTTCACTTTGCATTCTATTCAGCCCTTGGGGTTTTCCTGGATGCCACGTGTCCTCAGACAGGGAGGCCTGCACATAAAGCACATAGTCTTGATGAGAAGACCCTCATCGGAGCCACATCTCAATGCAGACTGACCACTTTTCAACCATTCCCATTCCACAGGTGGTGTGTGCTCAGCCAGCCTCCCCAGAGCCTGACAGGCCCTTCTTCATCACTGCTAGATGCCAAGGGAGAATGGTACTTATCTGATGTAAATGTTACGCTGTATAAGTCTGCACTGACATTACACTTAATTAAAAAGTTATGCTTCTAGAGAATTCAGTGCCAGTATCTGTGTTTGTGGACATATGCTTCCACTAGTGTTAAAAATGTTCTGAAGTGTAAAGTTTGAGGAAAACACATTTTTTCAGTATCCTCTAGCCCAGAAGGAGAAATTACATTTTTTGTAATCTCTTTTTAAAAACATTATTCTTAGATCGATACTGCAAGCAAGCTAAGTTCTGGTAAAGAGAACCGCTCAGAAAACAGCACTGTGGAAGAACGAAGACCCAGCAGTGCTGACAAATGGGCTGACTACTCTGGGAAAGTAAAATGGGCCAAGGCCGGGCCGGATGAAGATGTGGGCATTGCTCAAGATCAGATCACACTGGACCGTTCAGGTAGGGTACTTACCTGACAGTTATCTGTCCATGTTATCCTCAGAATAATAAAATTACATGTATTAGCTGAGTAGAAATAATATGCCCAAAATAGTGATTGTTTTCGTGAGAAAATCACCCTTTTGGGGGTGATGGTATTGGGGTTTGAACTTAGGCATAGACAGGTGCTCTGCTGCTGAGCTATACATCCAGTCCTTCCTTGTGCTGGTTACTTTGGAGATAGGGTCTTGGTTTCTGCTCAGGCATGTGCCTGGATTGTGACCTGCCTGTTTTAGACTTCCCATTGGCTGGAATGATGGAGTCTTCCACACTTTCCTGCTCAGGCTGGCCTGGAATTCCAGTACACTGGATCTCAGCTGGGGGATTGTAGGCTTTGATTGAGAAGTGTTCTTGTGAATGCTTTTTGCCCAGTTGACCTTGGGTCATGATTCTGATATCAGCTTCTCATGTAGCTAGAATTATAGATGTGAGCTACCACAGCTATAAAGAGCAGCTAGCTCTTTTTTTTTTTTAACTTAAGAATATTGAGAACCCTAAATACACTTAGAAGTATAACAAAATATATCACTTAGAAACTGTTAACTCTATACTAGTCCAATAGGAAGTATTTATGATTTATGGATAATTTCAATTACTAAAGTGGTTGGATAAAATATATTCTATTATTCATAAACGTTCCTCAAGGGATAATCCCATTAAAATTGATAACATTAAATTTTGAAAGCTACTTTTTGTGTTATTGAATGAATTCTGGCCTCATTGATTTCAGAGTCCTGGGGATGGAGGTGTTTCTGAGAGCCTTGCAGGGGCTCTAAGACCAACACTGTTTCACAAGAGCGCTGAGTGCAGTTTCCCCAGTGTGCTGGGAGACCAAAAGCGGGGATAATGCACATCATCTTAATGTCCTGTGGGGCAAAGTGGGAAGTAGTCATAAAACAATTTGCCTATACGTCAGTGGGAAAGGTTGAAGAAAAGTACTTATGCAATAGTTTGAGAATGGAACTGGCTTTATGTTTGTTGTACTCAGGTCTTCACACTCTGTGCTTAATTTTTCCCCTGCTTTTTCCTGTGTCTAGCTCTTACATGTACAATGACTTTTATTTTACTCAGTCTGAAGCAGCATTAGAATAGTGTCTGAATCTCCCAGCCACACTTTCTATTTGTTAATCTTGTATGTACAAGTATTGCAGAATGAAGGAGAAAGAATTAGAGGCTTAAAATCTTAAGAGAACTACTTGTAAGCCTGGTGTTATAGTTTACTAGAATTTTGAAAGGATTCTGTTATCTTAATTCTTTTTTTTTTCTTTTTTTGGTTGTGGGCCTGAGCTCTGGGCCCAGGCACTGTCCCTCAGCTCTTCAGCTTAAGGCTAGCGCCCTACTACTTGAGCCACAGTACTACTTGGGCCACAGTGCCTTTTCTGCTTATGTGGTGCTGAGGAATTGAACCCAGGACCTCATGTTTGCAAGGCAAGCACTCTACCACTGAGCCACCTTCCCAGCCCCTCCTAATTCTTTTTTTTTTTTTTTGCGGGGGGCGGGGGGGGGGCGGTCCAGTCGTGGGGCCTGAACTCTGGGCCTGGGCGCTGTCCTGACTCAGCTCAAGGCTAGTGCTGTACCACTTGAGCCACAGCGCCACTTCCGGCTTTTTTCTTTTTGCTTATGTGGTGCACATGAGCAAGGCACGCACTCTACCACTAAGCCACCTTCCCAGCCCCCCTCCTAATTCTTAAATTAAGATGGATGGCTATTCTGTAGAGTTCTTATATAATTATACAAAAAGATACATAAAATACCTTGTAAATTAAGCTAGTCACATAACCACCATGTAGTAGTTATTTTCATCAGAAATAGAATAGAAAAACAAAGAGTAAAAGTAAAACAAGACTTTATGATTTTACTGAACTTTAGTTTCTACTTTCCAGACTTTGCATATGATCTGAAATTGGAAGAATCAGATTCTCAACTTCACGATGCTATTCATAAGATGAAAAGACTTGATAAAATTTTGGCAAAAAGACAACATAGAGAAAAAGAAATCAAGAAGCAAGGTTTAGAAATGAGAAAAAAGCTGTGGGATGAACTTGAGGTAGGAATTTTATAACCATATGCTGACAGAAATGACTTCCTTTAAGAAGTCTGGACTGTGGTAGTGGGAGTGCTGCCTGCCTCTATCGATTGTTTTGTGGTAGTGGTAATGGTAGTGGTAATGGTGGTGGTGGTGGTGGTGTGTTTGTGTGTTAGTGCAGAGGGCTTATTTTTGGAGAATTGGATAGTATAACTTGGTCTGTGACATTTCAGACCCGGCTTCTCCGATGTGATCACACCCACAGACAGACCTAGTTCAGCCTTACTTTGTCAGATGGGGTCACCTTCATTGCTGGGATTAGCAGAGTGGGTATGATGGCTATGTTCACCAACTGTGCATGGCTGCTTTTTCTTTAGTGAGCTTACAGTTCAGAGAGAGAAGTACATAAAAGTTGATCCATCTGAGCCAGGCCCCGGTGGCTCACGCCTGAATCCTAGCTACTTAGGAGGCTGAGATCTGAGGATGTAATTCAAAGCCCTCTCTGGCAGGAAAGTCCGTGAAACTCTTTTTTTTTTTTTTTTTTTTGTCGGTCATGGGACTTGAACTCTGGGCCTGGGCGCTGTCCCTCAGCTCTTCAGCTCAAGGCGAGCGCTCTACCACTTGAGCTACAGCGCCACTTCCCGTTTTCTGGTGGTTTATTGGAGATAGGAGTCTCACAGTCTCTCCTGCCCAGGCTGGCTTTGAACCGTGATCCTCAGATCTCAGCCTCCTGAGTAGCTAGGATTACAGGCATGAGCCACCAGCTCCCGGCAGTCCGTGAAACTCTTATCTCCAATAAACCACTCAGAAAACCGGAAGTCATACTGTGGCTCAACCGGTAGAGCACTCGCCTTGAGCTGAAGAGCTGAGGGACAGCGCCCAAGCCTAGAGTTAGAGTTCAAGCTCCACCACTGACCAAAAAAAAAAAAAAAAGTTTATCCATCTGGTCAGCATCATCACTCCAGCAAACCCTGGTCTCAAACCAGTTGGGGAGTTGTACTGTTTCATGTACTGGTCAAGGTCTTTTCAGAAAGCTTGAGTTTTGGGCCACACTCCTTTTGTTTCTATCTTGACAAATTTCTGGTGCCTGATCAGCTTTCTTTGCTCTTCATGGGTCTTATTATCTGTAGTGTTGAGAGGCTGAAGTTGAGCAGAGGTTGGCACTGACTTGGTATAGAGCCTTTGCCTCATATTTGAATTTTACTCTTCAGGTCAGGAATCTGAATCTGATAATAACAGATGGCTGTTTTGAATGAGCCATCCTTAATTATTGACTGACTTCAGGGGGAGATTTCCTGGACATTTAAGTGAATTTAGAATAAAGTGATTAAGAATGTATTTGTATCCATGAAGTCCATTACAATGGAAAGAAAATAGCATCCAAAATGTAGTGTTTAAACTAGAGAAATAATTCCTATGAAGTTTGCCAGGAAAAGTTAGTCTTTTTTATTGACACTCAAAGCAAAGTCCCCTCCACCCCCACCCTGCCCCTTTGAAAGAAGAGTTTAAGTGGAAACCACAAAACAGTTCTAAACTTAGCATCTCTGAAATTTCAATTTGGTGCTCCACCTTTGGGTTGTTCATAAGTTGGAAAACTATCTAAGATTTAGGAAGGTGGCTCAGTGGTAGAGTGCTTGCCTTGCATGCATGAGGCCCTGGGTTCCATTCCTCAGCACCACATAAACAGAAAAAGCTATACATGGTACTGTGGCTCAAGTGGTAGAACACTAGCCTTGAGCTGAAGAGCTGAGGGACAGCACCCAGGCCCAGAGTTCAAGCCCCATGACTGACAGAAAAAGACAAGCATAGAATAAAGGATATTTTTTTTTAAAAAAGAAAACTAACAGAAACTGGGAAAGTAATTATCATACACTTCATGTCTCTCTAGGAAAACCTGTTATCAGAATTTTGTAGAAACAAATTTTCCTAAGAAATATAAACATAAACATAATATAAATATAAAGATAAACCTTCTTGTTTATATGTGCACAATTGGGAACTATGTCAGAATAAAAATCAACGAGAAGGGGCTGGGAAGGTGGCTCAGTGGTAGAGTGCTTGCCTAGCATGCATGAAGCCCTGGGTTCAATTCCTCAGTACCACATACACTGAAAAAGCTGGAAGTGGCCCTGTGGCTCAAGTGGTAAGATGCTAGTGTTGAGCAAAAGCAGCTCAGGGACAGTGCCCAGGCCCTGAGTTCAAGTCCCAGGACTTCTTTTTTTAAAATCAATGAGAATAGTTGCCTTCCCTTTCCACACTAAACTTTAGTTTTGTTTTCATTAGTCTGCAAAAAATAATGACATCTTGCAAAGCAGTGAAGAGATGGAAAATACAAAGAAGTTTTTATATTTGACTGTTGAATCTGAAGAACCTGTTGGTGAGTAGATGCAAGTGTATCTGTTTCACTTTTTCCTCAGGGTCACAGATTCTTTGGACTAAGATGAAATTTCCCCTTTTCTCTGTGAGTTGACTCACTTTAGGTAGGATTATAAGTAATTCCTCTGCATTTAAATATGCCTTAGTGTCTGTAAGCTAGTGTGAGAGGGACAGGGCAGGGGAGGAGGAGTCTGTGTTTGCTTTCTGTTACTTGTAGATTTCTCTAGAGGGTGTTTTTTTTTTTTTTTTTTTTTTTTTTTTGCCGGTTGTGGGCCTGAACTAGGCCTGGGCACTGTCCCTGAGCTCTTCAGCTTAAGGCTAGTGCTCTACCACTTGAGCATCACTTCCGGCTTTTTCTGCTTATGTGGTGCTGAGGAATGGAACCCAGGGCCTCATGCATGCAAGGCAAGCGCTCTACCACTGAGCCACCTTCCCAGCCCCTAGAGGGTGTTTTATGCCAGCTGTCCTCCACTAGTTCAAGGTTGCCCTTCCAGGCACCACTGAGGTCCATGGGATCCTTCCACCTTTCCACAGAAGTCTCTTGCTGATTTGTCCATTTCCAGTCCTCTAACATCAGACATTTTCAGATCAGCCAATTAATTCTGCACGTATATTTCTGTTTTCCCTCTTGTGTGTATTTGTGAATTTTAAATGTTTTTGTTAGCATATATTAATAGTACAAAATGAGTTTCTTTGACATTTTCATACTTTGGTCATATTCCTCTCCTCTGCTACCCTCTCTTTTTTTTAATTTTGTTTTTAAATTTTTGTTAGTTATGGAGCTTGAACTTGGGACCTGGGCGCTGTCCCTCAGCTCTTTTGCTCAAGTCCAGCACTCTACCACGAGGGATGGCTTTCAACCTGATCCCCAGATCTCAGCTTCCTTAGTAGCTACAATTATAGGCATGAGCCACCAGCACCTGGTTTACCCGCTCTTCTTTTTCCCCATCCTGCTGATCCCTGTTCTTTTCCCAGAGAGTTCCCCTTCTACTTTTTTCTTTTTAAAATTTTATTGTAAAGGTGATGTACAGAGGGGCTAAAGTATTTGTCTTTCTAAGTCTGGTTTATTTTGCTTTGCATAATGAATCTCTAATTTCATTTATTTTTCTATAAATGACATAATTTCACTCTTCTAATGGCTAAATAAAACTCCACTGTCTATATAGACCACATTTTCTTCTGAAAATTCTTTTTTGTTTTTGGTGCTGGTTCTGGGGCTTGAATCAGATCCTGCACACTGTCCCTGAGCTTTTTTGTTCTTGGCTAGCACTCTACCACTTGAGCTATAGCTCCTCTTCTGGCTTTTTGGTAGTTATTTGGAGATAAAGAGTCCCACAGACTTTCCTGCTGGGGCTGTCTTTAAACCACAATCCTCAGATCTCATTCTCCTGAGTAGGTAGGCTTGCAAGGTATGAGCCACCGGCGCCCAGCTTAAAAATTCTTTTTAGGGCTGGGAAAGTAGCTCAGTGGTAGAGCGCATGCCTTGCATGCCAGAGGCCCTGGGTTCAATTCCTCAGCACCACATAAGCAAAAAGAAAAAAGCCAGAAGTGGCGCTGTGGCTCAAGTGGTAGAGCGCTAGCCTTGAGCTGAAGAGCTGAGGGACAGCACCCAGGCCCAGAGTTCAGGCCCCATGACCGGACCCCCCCCCAAAAAAAATTCTTTTTATACATGCATATTATGGAGTTTTGCACTCTTTAACTCACTTATATGATGATGAAAATTTAGGAATGGGTAGTTTTTAAACATTATTAATTTACTTCATTGCTATTACAGAGGTGATGTACAGAGGGACTGCACTGCATGAGTCGGGTAATGAGCACAGCTCCTTTCATACCGTGTCTTCTGTTCCCTCACTCTCTCCCAGTCCCTCCCTCCCGTCTCCACCCACCAGTTGTATAGTTCACTCTCATCCGTGTGCAGGGAGCTCCTGCTGCACTTTTCCACTCTTTTCCCCTCTAGTTCTGTATCCTCCCCCAACCTTTCCAAGCTGTACACTTGAATGCACCATACAAAAGGTAAAGAAGACAGAATCATCAAAAACTAAAAACAAAAAAGAAGGGAAAAAAGGCCTTTTCCCCCCCATATCTCAGAGTTGGTTTCAGTATGTATATTATTTTATGTATGTGAAGAGGCACTTAGGCATTGTGCCTTTGTGTTTCTCTCCTAAGTGTATATAGATAGGTAGTTTGTGACAGTTGATAGGGTGTGGGGTAGTGGGGGGGTGCGTGCATCTGGGGCTTGAACTTGAGGCCTGGGTGCTGTTCAAGGTTTTGGGTTTTTTTGCTCAAGGCTTGTACCCTACCACTTGAGCCACAGTTCCACTTATGACTTTCTGGTGGTTGATGAGACTCTTTTTTTAGGGGGGAGGGGGTCTGATCCTGGGACCTGAACTCTGGGCCTGGGTGCTGTTCTTCAGCTCTTCAGCTCAAGGCTAGAGCTCTACCACTTGAGCCACAGCGCCACTTCCGGCTTTTTTCTTTTTTGCTTATGTGGTGCTGAGGAATTTAACCCAGGGCCTCAGGCATGCAAGGCAAGCGCTCTACCACTGAGCCACCTTCCCAGCCTCTCTGGTGGTTGATGAGATGTGAGTCTCATGGTCATTACTTCCTGAGCGAGGCTTCCAGTGGACTTTTCTGCCCCTGCTGGCATCGAACTGCATTCCTCAGCTCTCAGCTTCCTGAGTAGCTAGGATTATAGGTGTGAGCCACTGGCATCTGGTGAGGCTTTTCTAATTTGGAAGAAATAAATTAAGCATGTTGAGTATGCAGGTGCTAAATATTTGCAGAATTGTATATCATGTATCATAGATAGGTAGATAGATAGGTAGATAGGTATAGATAGTAGGGGTCCCAGGAAAGGAATCAACGAGAACCATCAAGACCAGGGGTCTCCCCATGAGAGTCATCCTTGAGTAGCCTTTCTTCTAAGTTGAGAGGCTTTGTGGATTAATTTGTGGATGTTAGTTTGGATTTGTGCTGATCATTTAACCCCCCAAAACAGTCTTCCTTTAGCATGGCACAAAAGCATGGCTTCCTTATGCCCATGTCCATCAACCCTCCAACTCACAATGTCTGGCTGACTTTACATCTACACATGTTTATGTCACTTAATGACATATGTTTTTCCCCTTATATTTTTTATTGTAACTGATTATTGCAAAAGTTAGTTTTATTTTCTACATTAATATGATTGGGTATAAACTTTTCTGACTGGTTAAATATGTTGCTTTAAAAATAATTTTATTGTTATTAAGGTATTGTATATAAGGTATTATTTAAGTTGGTGTATTTCATATGTGGTTTAAAATTTGTTTTTAAACCAAACAAGAAAGCAGTTAACCTTTATTTCAGGCTATTTATTTCAGGCTAATAATTAGTATTGTATTATTCTGAAAGTGGAAACTTTTTTTTTTTTGTCCGTTGTGGGGCCTGAACTCTGGGCCTGGGCGCTGTCCCTCAGCTCTTCAGCTCAAGGCTAGCACTCTACCACTTGAGCCACAGAGCCACTTCCAACTTTTTCTGCTTATGTGGTGCTGAGGAATTGAACCCAGGGCCTCATGCATGCAAGGCAAGCACCCTACCACTGAGCCACCTTCCCAACCCCTGAAAGTGGAAACTTTTGAATCAGCTATTAGATGTATTATTTGCAGAGTATTTTTAGTCCAGGTCTGACAGAAAGCAATAGAAATGCAAGAGTCCAATCTGATCACAGAACACTAGGTTTGGAAGCATCGTATTTCTTCTGTTTCAGCACAGAAGGAAGCTGCTGAGATGTGATGCACTCACTGAACTTTAGTTACCAGTACTAACAAAATACAAAAATAAAAATTGTTTTGATCTCCGGGCGCTGGTGGCTCATGCCTGTAATCCTAGCTACTCAGGAGGCTGAGATCTGAGGATCGTGGTTCAAAGCCAGCCCAGGCAGGAAAGACCATGAGACTCCTATCTCCAATAAACCACCAGAAAACCGGAAGTGGCGCCGTAGCTCAAGTGGTAGAGCGCTAGCCTTGAGCTGAAGAGCTGAGGGATAGCGCCCAGTCCCAGAGTTCAAGCCCCATGGCCGACCAAAAAAAAAAAAAAATTGTTTTGCTAAAATCTTGGGATTTTAGCAAAAATATTTCTGTAAGTATTCATGGGCAAGCAGGAAATGTTTTATTGTTTCCAGTATTTTTTGTGACTGGGTGTAACTTGCCACCAATAGGTGGCAGCATTCAATTGTACTATGGTATTGTGTTTTTAATGAAATTAACTTTGCTTTGTGTGATATATATGTGTGTGTGTATAAATAAATATATATATATATATTTTTTCTGGTCCTGGGGCTTGAACTTAGGACCTGGGCACTGTCCCTGAGCTTCTTTATGTTCAAGCTAGCTCTCTACCAGTTGAGCCTCAGCAACACTTATAGCTTTTTTTGAGTAGTTTGTTGGAGAGAAGAATCTCATGGAATTTGCTGCAAGGGCTGGCTTTGAACCGTGATCCTTAGATCTCAATCTCCTTAGTAGCTAGGATTACAAGTGTGAGCCATGGGCGCCCAGCTCTTGTATGATAGTTTTTATTTTTTTATTTTTGTCAGTCGTGGGGCTTGAACCCAGGGCCTGGGAGCTGTCCCTGAGCTTTTTCGCTCAAGGCTAGTGCTCAACCACTTTGAGTCACAGCGTCAGTTCTGGTTTTCTGGTGGCTAATTAGAGATGAGTCTCATAGACTTTCTGCCCGGGCTGGCTTCTAACTGTGATCCTCAGATCTCAGCCTCTCCAGTAGCTAGGATTATAGGTATGAACCACTGGCACCCAGCTTGTGAGATAATTTTGTTTTCCTGGAGGATGATTTTTTTAAATTGTAAAAATGCTGAATTGAGGTGTTACAATTAAATAAGTAAGATAATGAGTACATTTCTTGTAGAACATTGTTTTTCTCCCTCTATCTGTTCCCTCTCCCAATCCCCCCACTCTTGCCCTGAAGTTGTAAAGTTCATTTCCAACACCAGAAATTTGTTGCATT